CAGCCAAAACGGCTGAGGGTCCACCAGAGGGCTTCCACGTTGACCGAGTCGATGAAAGTCAGGTACAGGTAATGATGCCGTTCTCTGCTCTGTTCCTGTATCTGACGGGCAGCAAAGATCATGTCAGTGGTGCCACGTGATGGTCTAAAGCCACATTGAGATTCTGGAATGAAGTTTTCCGCCTCAGGAAGAAGTCCGTTTATTTTTAGGAGGACTAGGGCGATAATCTTGCCAGCTACGGACAGCAGTAAGATCCCGAGGTAGTTGTCACGGTCTGACAAGTCTCCCTTGTTCTTATAAATATTGACAATGGAGGCGTCTTTGTGAGCTTGGGGATTTCCTCCTTTGCCCATATATTCTCCAGGAGAGAGTGGAGATGGCTGGTAAGCAGAGGCTCTTCTGCTTTATACACCTCGGCTGGGATTCCATCACGCGCTGAGGCTTCGTTATTTTTCATCTGTTTGATGGCAGTAGCTACCTCATCCAGGGGTGGAGGATAGCTGAGGTGGGTCAGCTCTGGATGCTGAGGGACCTGCTGGGTAGTCAGGACATCCACATCGGTGTTTCGGTTGAGCAGTGCTCTTTCCAGCACTGAAGAAGGCCTTCATCGTCTTTAATTATGGAGTTATCGTCGGATGACCCGAGGAGGGCTGCGCCACGAGTTATTGGCCCATAAAATGTTTTAGTGGAATTTAAGAATTTGTGCATCTTGTGCTGATCTGCAATTTTTTTGTGTTTCACAGGCTTTATTTTTAAACCAGTCGTTCTTTAGATTGCGAAGTTCCTGCTGGGCCGCCGCTTTCTTCTTGCGAAAGGTATCAGCTATGGTCCAAGACTGAGGGTTGTTCTGCCAGTCAGTTAAAGCAGCACGTTTATCATCGACAAGTACGTTAATTTCCTGGTCATTTCATCAAACAAGTCTTGGTGTATTCTTTCGATCTGGCCAAGGGTCTCTCTGCAGGGTTTTGTCATGACAGTGTCGAGAATATACCATTCGGCACTGGGATTTGGGTTGTTTGTTGTCGGGTTGTTTATCAGTCCATGTTCAAGCTGCTCCCTGAAAGCATATGCTAACCCTGGATCCTCCAGATGCTTAGTTTTAAAACCTCTTCTAGAGGCTTGTTGACTTCGCCTTTTTGGGGCGACGTGAAGTGAGAGCTTGGCTCTGACGAGCTGATGATCAGTGTAGCAGTGGTCTGAGCCAAGTATGGTATGGGTGATGAGGACATCTCGGCGATCTCTTTCTCTGACAATGATGTAGTCAATGAGATGCCAGTGTTTGGATCCTGGGTGTTGTCACGATCCCTTGAACTTGTCGGCCTTCCTAAACGAGATATTGGTGATAGTTAGGTTGTGTGCAGCACACTTGCTCAGGAGGAGTAGGCCACTGGGATTACACTTGCCAAGTCCATTTCTCCCTATGGTTCCCTGCCAACTCTGGCATTGAAGTCACCAAGGAGCACAACCTTATCTTCTCTGGGGATAGAGGTTAGCACTCTGTCGAGGTTGGCGTAAAAGGCTTCCTTGTTGTCATCCTGTGCATCCGTTGTTGGGGCGCATGTACTGATGAAAAAGGCATGACTTGATTGATTCAATGGGACTCAGAGCGTCATGCGGCGCTCGTTGATCTAATAGGCATTTCAGAGCCTGTGTTGGATACGCTGGCAGATGGCAAAGCCAACTCCATATATGCTGTTTCTTTCCGCAGTAGGCTTACCCTTCCAGAAGAATGTATAGCCAAACCCCCGTTCTGTGAGTTGACTCTCGTTTGGGAGCCGAGACTCACTAATGGCTGCTATGTTGATGTTATACCTAGCAAGCTCTTATGCCACAGGACGCTCATTTGTGCCAGTATCCAGAAGGGTTCTGACATTCCATCTGTGATTTTGTTTGTGTTTTTCATCGCATAAAGATGACCTTACTGGGTCCGGTTGCCCAGTATTTTTTTTTTTTTTAGGCAGGCTCCTTAGGGCACCTTTCCTAGACCCTTTCCCATGTGGAATGAGCAGAGTAGCTCCTAGAAAGGGCATAAACGACCATCTTATCTGTGCCGCCCATGAGCAGAGTTGTGACTAGAGAATCCCGGCAATCATCTCTGCCTATCCCCATCGCCACTCCTCAGTCGCCATAGGACCTTTGGGGGAAGAGGGGTTTTGCTGATGATGAGAGGTATGATGAGCTGGATGATGGCTGTGTGTGAGTTGATTTATGTGGTGAGGCAGGAGCGCAAGCGTTGCAGTAACTGTGGAGAGGGAGAGTTGCAATGGACTGCCGATAGCCTAGTTTATTAGGTTTCGCCTTAGTTGTCTGTCTCTCATGCATTGCCTTCGTCCACAGGTGTAGTCATTAGGTTCCCATAGTGGTCACCTCTTCCGCCTATGCTGCCATTTGGGGTCTTGTTGGAGCTCTATAAGCATGTCTGCCATGATGCGGGGCTTCACCGCAGATTTTTCGTTCGGGGTTTACTCCCGTAGCCTTATACTTACGAAAGTTTATCTGCAAGGCATCGAGGCAATGGTTGGTAGGCGCCAGGACGTGTCCAAATGCCAGTGGGCCTATGCGCCATCCCGCTGGGGCCCACTACTACTCCAAGATCCCCTGCTGGCCTAGCCTGGGCCCATGAGACACCCAGTTACTGTGTGTTGCCACGAGGTGGCACAGCATGAGTCTTGATGGTGAAGAGACTGTATACTGGCAGGGGAAGACTTTTGCAAGTTGCCTACCTGTTTGCCACGAGGGATAGCCATTGGCCGTAGCTGAGAGCGAGAGGGAGCAAGCAGTGCTTGCACCTTAACACTAACATAATGCTGCCACACTAGACGCATTTCACCACCCTGTGTGCGAACAAACACACAGAGGACACTGACACTGACCACAGAGGAACACTTACTAACACTGACCATGCAGGAACACTTACACTGTCCACACAGGAACACTTACTAACACTGGCAACACAGGAACAATTACTAACACTGACCACACAGGAACACTTATTAACGCTGACCACAGAGGAACACTTATTAACACTGACAATGCAGGAACATTTATAAGCAGTGACCACACAGGCACACTTAGTAAAGCTGACCACAGAGGAACACTTATTACCACTGACAACAGAGGAACACTACTAATACTCGCACTACAGACATGATGTTTACGGCCAATAGATAATTCATCCACTCTATATAGATTTACCATTTTGCTTTTGACAAGAGGATACAGTAGCATCGTCGGCGCGAGTTACAGCACGAGAAATATAGTGCCAACAGGGATCAGAAGGGAAGATACAGTGGGTGAATGTTTAATAACTTTCTTCAGGGTGTAAGCCTGAGCGAACGTCACCAGCGTGTTGTTTAGCGGTTTTTATTGTTCTGGGTATTGTTGTGGTGGGTGTTGTTGTCGTTGGTTTTGTTTTGGTGGGTGTTGTTGTAGTAGATTTTGCTGTGGTGGATGTTGTTGTGGTAGGTGTTGTTGTGGTGGGTGTTGTTGTGGTAGGTGTTGTTGTGGTGGGTGTTGTTGTGGTGGTTATTGTTGTGGTAGGTGTTGTTGTGGTTGTGTTGCGGTTGCAGTGAATTTTGTTGTTGCAGGTTTTGATATTGTTGGTGTTGTTGTTGTAGGTTTTGATATGGTGGGTGTTGCTGTAGGTTTTGATATGGTGGGTGTTGTTGTGGCGGGTGTTGTTGTGGTGGTTATTGTTGTAGTAGGTGTTGTTGTGGTTATGTTGCGGTTGCAGTGGGTGTTGTTGTTGCAGGTTTTGATATGGTTGGTGTTGTTGTTGTAGGTTTTGATATGGTAGGTGTTGTTGTTGCAGGTTTTGATGTGGTGAGTGTTGTTGTGGTGGGTGTTGTTGTGGTGAGATATTTTTGTGTTGGGTGTTGTGGTGGGTGTTGCTGCAGTAGACGTTATTGTGGTGGGTGTTGTGCTGGGTTTTGTTGTAGTGGATATTGTAGTAGATGTTGTTGTGGTGGTGGTGATTGTTTAGTAGGTTTTGTTGTGGTGGTTATTGTAGAATGTGTTGCTATGGTGGCTGTTGTGGGGGTGTTGTTGTTGTGTGTTGTTGTGTTAGGTGTTGCTGTGGTGGGTGTTGTTGTGGTAGGTGTTGTTGTAGTAGGTGTTGTTGTGGTGGGTTTTGATGTAGTAGCTGCTGATTTGTGGTAGGACTTTAGTGGAATTTTCCTTGCAGCTGCCCTGAAATTCTAACTGGAATCTAATTTCTTTGTGATCGCTGTTAGCAAGGTTGTTCCCTACCTCGACATTACTAATGGGTTCGGTTATATGTTGCTTTAGGAAACAGTCCTGGATTGTTTCAAGAAAATCCTCTGATTCTGAGTTACCCATAAGGTCAATCCAATCTATTTGGCTAAAGTTAAAGTCGCTTACTATACAGACTTTGCTATGCATGGAAGCCCTGCGCATTTCATACCAAACAAGTCGCTCATTAACTCTATCAAGATTAGGAGGTCTATATATTACTTCTGTGGTTAATTTTTCCCTACCATCGATTAGTTCTATCCAAATTGTTTATGTATGCCGTTCTGTTTTTATTACTTTATTTATTTCACACTTCAGATTATCCCTGACAAAGATTGCTACTCCACCTCCATTCCTAATCTGCCTATCAGTATGGAATAATTTGTAGCCTGCAATTTGGTATTCGACAGGTAACTCACGTGAGTCTAGGTTTATCCATGTTTCGGTGAATGCTATTAAATCGATTTTTTCGGTACATGCCAACGCCCTGATTTCATCTATTTTGTTTCTCATAGTTCTACTGTTTGTGTAGTAGACATTTAAGTTAATTGTGTTCTGAGTCCTCTCTTTGTTGCATTTATGTTTTAACTCCCTGCCTAATTTAGTTTTGCCATAATTCCTAGCACTATTTCCCTGAAATCTTTCACTTTGTTTACCCGCTCCCATGTTAATATTGGATAAATATTTCTTCTACCAGCTGATGTTTGGAATCATTAACGGAATTCTTGCTTCTATTACCCTTTTTTCAGTTAACCAGAAGAATGATGGTGGTGTTGAGAGGTGTGGGCATGGTGGTGAGTGTGGTGGTGGTGTGGGTGACCATGGTCTCACATACCGTCCACGCCAGCGACGGCTACTGCGGTTACAAGACTGTGTGGCTGGACAAGACTGTCTACAGACCAGTGCCCTACTACCATGGGGGGTGAGTATGATTGAGAAAAATACTGAGGAAGAAATGTAGGCAGATAGACAGTTAGAACAACGGATGGAGAAAGAGTGGGACAAGTAAATGTTAAATGCGATAGGAAGTTATGCAGGTGTAAAGGCTAACTCTCAGTTTGATAAATAAACATGAATCCTTACCATTCATTTACTAGAGCTACTCATAGCATGTGTGCAGCTTCGTCACCATACAGATATTTATCATTTATAAAATAGTTTTTTTATTAAACTGTTTATCATTATCAAATGAGTTGTTTTCATGAATATTCCCAGCCAACTACTTTTTATGTAAAGTATAAAATTTCACTGATAGAGAACAGAGAGACAGTTACGTTAAATACATGCCCTAATAAAAATTAACTGACTATATATAATGAATCAGTGAAATGAAATATATTCACATACAAAATAACCAAGTTATATTTCTGACAGAGGAAGACTGATCTCATATCCAGGCACTTTCACAAACATTGAGTCCATAATATATATATATATATATATATATATATATATATATATATATATATATATATATATATATATATATATACACTTCATTTTTAGTCCATATAACACGCGGACTTTGAACATATAATCAACGACCTCACCAGCCAGGATTCGAACCCTCGACCTACTGGGTGGGACTAGGGAACGCTACCGGACCAACCCACAAGGACACTAAAAGCAGTCCTAGGCTCTGTTATATTTCACACAAAGCCTGTTCATCGAGCTGATGGCGCCGTGAACCTCATTGGGAACTGCCCTGCCGCGTATGTGGTGTCAGTAGCATTTTACCGAATCCAGCTGGGCCGAGGTTCGATATATACTGATGTTTATTACACATATATATATGAAGTATATATATATATATATATATATATATATATATATATATATATATATATATATATATATATATATATATATATATATATATATATATATATATATATATATATATATGGTTATCACCATATATATATATATATATATATATATATAGGGTACTTAAGGTTCAAGCCAATATTATAGATATATTTATATTCCTCATCAATGAATTCCGGGCTGCAAATTCTCAAAGCACGTAAAAACATTGATGAAAATACTGACTGTTTGACTCTATTATGGTGGGCAGAATAATAATGAATGTAAGAACACACATTAATGGGTTTCCTATAAATACTGAAATTAAAGGTGTTACCTATTCTGTGGATCAGACAGTCTAGGAATGGTAATTTGCAGTCATTCCCTAATTCCACAGTGAATTTGATCGAGGGGGCTAAGTTGTTAAGTTGTGGTAGAAAAGCTTTCAGGTCCTCATTACATGGCCAAAGACATTACATCATCTACATATCTAAACCAGACTGCTGAGGGTAGTAAAATATTACTTAATAGTTTCTTTTCAAAGAATTCCATATATATATATATATATATATATATATATATATATATATATATATATATATATATATATATATATATATATATATATATATATATATATATATATATATATATTGCGGATAATACTAGAATAGTATACAGTCTTTGGATATGTAGATTAGACTCAATAACAATGATGGTGGACGAGTGGAACAAGCTTGGCAACTTTGTAGTAAATGCTGGAACGCTGGAAAATTTTAAAAGGAGGCTAGATAGATTCATGGATGATAGAGAGTGGTAGTAACTCTCGACAGGAGCTGCCATGCACAGGCCAACCGGTCTATTGCAGACTCCTTATTTTCTTACGTTCTTATGTACTTAAGACAACCTAAGTTGCACTGCTTTTCCTACTAGCCTCACATTAGTACAGTATATGTTAGTTTCAGATGTTTCATGATGAGTTCAGCACTTAAAAGAGCTGTATGTATAAAAATACTATTATGTGACGTTAGGTATCAAACAGGGAGGTACTACCACCTGGGAAGATATTGGAAGCATAATGTGTTGTCTAATGGTAGACCCTGCTGCCATATGGCATCACAAAAATTGTGATCTGATTTTCTGCCTCATTTAAACATAATTGCATGGTCTCAATTGTTTCTCTTTCTTTGACAACACAACATATATATCATATCTCACTCTTGACTTGTTTAATTACATACACTTCTGTATTTATTTTTGTTTCAATCCTCCCCCCTTGCCCCGACGTGGGTCGGTAAACTGTGCCTGGGTGGGCTACTCCCCGTAAAAAAAAATCCCTTGTATTCCACCTGTAACAGTGTCGATATTTGTGTTTCGGCAGGAAATCTGTCGAAAACGCCTACGAGCCCGTCTACCTGACCACCACTGTGCTCAATAAGCAGTCAGTCCCTTACTTCATCACCCAGACCCAGAACGTAAGTCTCATCTACCATCAACGTAAAACTTCAGTCTCACATATCTTACACGACAAAAACACAATCTGGCATGACGAGAAATTCAGTCCGAAACACATGTTCCTGAACTACCACAGCTAATTCTATCTTTATAATTTACCTACGACAAACAGCGTTTAATTCATGTGTAAAGCACATTACGGCAAATATATTTATCATATTTAGCAACATCACGAAGCTTGGTTGGAGGGTTAGTTGAACATGTGAGGAACAGTTGAACATGGGAGAAAAAGTTAAGCTAATCTCATCTTCGTAATGAGAATAATATGTAGTTGTTTTCTTCTTACCTCCAATAGAACAGCTTCTCTGTGATATTAGCAAAATTTGTAAATTCTTGTACTGTACCTGTTCTCTCTTTCTATGTTAGCACTTGTACTGATATTCCTGAATGATATCATGATATTGTACGATAGTATCCTTGTAGGCGACAGTGGGACTGGCGTTCTCTCTCTCTCCCTCTCTCTCTCTTTTCATTCTTGTGCATGTTTTTGCATTCCACGTTCTCAATGATTACAACTTCCATGCTTTCTGCAGTTTTCGCGTCTATTTTCTTCATCTTCTACTAGATTCTTTGTGATTTCGTCGGGTTTCATATTCTACTTTATTTCTTTGTATTCTTTGTGGTCTTCAACGTTTATTACTCCAACATTAATGCTCACCCTTTCTCTCCCATTTCCTATAAGAGTTTCTCTGTCTTTCTTCTTACATACAGTATAGTAATCTACCAGTAGATTCGTATCACAGAATAATGTCAGATGCAGATGGTATTTGGAGAGTTTATTCAGAAATATTAGTTCATAGGTATTTAAAAATAACATCCAATTATTGCAAGTGTCAAGGGGATGACGGTGTCATAAACTTGGTCATATTATTATTATTATTAGTAGTAGTAGTAGTAGTAGATTTTCGTAAACTTGACTGTTTTCTAAGACTGATGTTGTAGATAACTTGCCCGGATGAAACAAGAAATGTGCCCAAAACCTATTACATTTTGTCAGTAGTGGCATCTTCCCGCTTAGTGATCGATCATCTTGAACACAGACAAAGCTGAATTAATCTTTCCACTCCGCTTTTCATCTGCTTAATTCTTAATGTCTTATTTTTTTGTAATCATTCTTCTCTACATTTATCTCCTGTCTTGTTTCATATCATCCATTATTACGGTATTATATCTCTTTATACGTCTTTCCCTAACACAATTTTGCACTCACCTGGGAAGTTCCAACTTTACCTTCCCTCCGTCACTTCCTTACACTTACTTCTGTAACGATATTCACGCCCTCCTTTGGCTCGCTCCACTATCGTGTCTTCATCCACTCCCTAGGTAACTGCTCTACCCCTCCTGTCCCCAGATGTGACACACTCTCTAAGTAATTCACCCTTCCTCCTGCCTCAAGGTACCCCAGTTCGTGACGAAGAAGGCGACACTGCCGCAGTACATCACTCATACTGTCATTAATACCCATCCCAAGTACGTGACTGTAACGGAGAAGTCTTACGTCACAGTGTACGCTACCAGGACGCGCAAGTCTTATGAAACGGTGTGTCCCAAAGGTTATGGACATGGTGGACACGACGGAGGATACGGACACCGCTGAGCTGTTCCCTGTTGGAACAAAAAAGGGAGGGTACGGTAAGGTGGAGGCAGTGAATGAGAGAGAGAGAGAGAGAGAGAGAGAGAGAGAGATCAAATGGAGGGTACTTTGTTGGCATCCCATTTGAAATGTAAATGCTAATCGTATGAGGTTTAGAAAAAAATACGCTTCCTTTGTGATCCAGCATCAACATAGATCTATCTAAATTAGGTAAAGTAAGGTTGGGTTATACTACATTAGATTAGTACATGTAGATTGCATTATGTTCCTTGACGTTCTTGCTCGTATATACAATTTTATTCGAATTTATGGTAAAATCAGAAATACTGTATATTGACATCATCACTACGACCCAATATGCGATTGTGTGTGTGTTTGCGCAAGTAATAATAATTGTGAAAACTAACGCAATAAGTGTAAATATAAGAGTAAATAGACTTAAGTAAAATAGACTTGTAAATGTTTGTCATGCAAAGTAATAGATTCTTTAGTTGCTTAAATATTTACATACCATAATAAATCGTACTGGATAACAAAAAAGTGAATTTAAATAACCCTCTCGTATTAACCTACTACAGTGTTTCCACGCTAACCTGGCCCATAAGCCACGCCCCACGTCTATAGCTACGAAAAGCTGATTGGTTCAGAGAGAATGCCCGTGTAGCTGTCCATCTATTCAGACTAAATGCGTTCACAATTGGTAAGCAGACCTATTATTCACTAAAATAATGTTAAATATCTGAAAATTCAATTACGAATTCAGAGAAGGTGTTAGAAAATTTCAAATATTTATCATAAAAGATCGAAGTCAAAGATGAAATTCGCTTTCGAATGAAGTCATTTCATTATTTCTTTGTTTTGTACGAAACATAAGGCGAACAGAAACAATTGATGTCATACATATAGCATAACAGGAAATGGACTACAGTTTGTACGGCTGTACATATCCCAAATTATTTATATAACTGATAAAACTCGATTTAAATACACCCAGTCCGCGGGGAGGTAAAACGCTCAGGGGAACAGCCACTGGACTGCAGGAATTTCTCTCATCTCGATGCACAAGTTGCACAACAGCCAGCAGAAATCAACTCTCAACTGTCAATAAAAAGACTTCTCACACCCACGAGCACATTATTAAATACTTTATCCATCTTAAATGCTGCATTGTGACAAGATTTAAGTAATATATTCTACGAAATATTAAGAAGCAATGTAGAGGTTTAAAATTTTAATCCTCTGTCATCAAGTACTGGCAGTACGAGTCAAGTGTCCAGAAGGTCTGTCAGACTGTCAGCTGACCACCCCGTCGATGTAGCAGCCAAGTCCAGTGGCTGTTACCCTGAGCGTTTTACCTCACCATGGACTGCGCGTATTTATATCGAGTTTTATCGGTTATATAAATGATTTGAGATATATCCAGCCGTACAAACTGTAGTTCATTACCTTTTATGCCATAAGTTTGGTATCATTTATTTCTGTTTGCTTTATGTTTGGTACAAAACAAAGAAATAATGAAATGACTTCACTCGAAAGTGAATTTCATCTTTGACTCTTACCTATTATGATAAATATTAAAAAAAATTCTAACATCCACTCTGAAGTGCTAATGCCTTGAAGTCATTTGAATTTTGATTTTCCAGATATTTATTATTATTTAAAAAAATAACAGGTCTGCTTACAAATTGTGAACACATTTAGTTTGAATAAATGGACAGCTAAACGAACATTTTCTATGAACCAATCAGCTATATTTATAGAAGAGGGTCGTGGCTTACGGGCCAGTTTAGTGTAGAATTACTATAGTAAGTCAAACTTTGTTTCAGCATGATGTGGAAAGTCTCCTAAACTAAGATTTGTTTATTTACCAAAAGTTAATAGAAAACTACCTCATAATAAATTAGTAAAATTACCATTTGTTCTTCAGAAGAAAACTATGTAAAGCCTTAGTATTTTTTGCTGGAAAAAACGGTCTTGTGAAGCTGGAGGTAAGTCACCTTCCTCACAAGACCGCGTCTCTCAGATGACGCCATGAATCCAGGTAAAAAAGTCACAGGAAACAAAGTCACAGGAAAAAGTCACAGGAAAAAAAGTCAGAAAAAAGTCACAAGAAAAAAGTCACAGAAAAAAGGCACGGAATAAACCTAACATAACCCAACCCAACCCAACCTAACCTAACCTAACTTAACCTAACCTACGTGCATCATATATAAATTGTGTTGTTAATATGTAAAAGTCAGTTAATAACTGTTTTAAAATATTTTTAGTTTTATTAAATATGTGACTTTTTTTCCTAGCCAAAATTGTGACTTTTTTTCTGTGACTTTTTTTCCTGTGAATTTATTACCGTTCACCGACGCCATGATGCCATGTGGCAGAAAGCTTGACTACTATAAATCCAGTAGACGTACGGTACCTGCGACTTTCTAGAATTTTAATGGCCAAAAACCTTCAAACGGTCAGATCTACGTCGACAGCAGTTAATTTATTCTGTGCATGAATCATAGAAGGAGAATATCAGTAAATCAGTCATCCGAGGCTATCATGGTTTAAAACAACACCAGCCCAACGGTCCATGAAATGCACAACCGTCATAAATAAGACAAAGTATCATTATTATATTGTATGGGTAGAAATTTAGACTTAATATTTTCATCGGTGCTAATCTGCAGGGACAATATTGGTTGGGTTATTTGTTCTGGCCATTACATTTTGGGTAGTAAAAAACATCCTGGCCGGATAACAGATTTAGGGCAACATTCAACAGCATTCAACATTCAGTAAAGGTTAGTAACTCGGTTGAATTCTAATAGTAGACCCTTTATTATTTACTTATACCAGTGCATAGACTACTCTCATTTAATAATTATATAGAAAGCACAATCAATTTTCAGAGAATTTCATAGTGTGGCAGAGTGAAATTCTTTAGAGGTGTGGTCGAGTCTTTCTATGGGTCGCAGTCGTTTCACTAATATATTATTCAAGCGTAAATCACTATTCCAATTGTTTCTGACAACAATAATAATAATAATAAAAATAATAATAATAATAATAATAATAATAATAATAATGATAATAATAATAATAATAATAATAATAATAATAATAATAATAATAATAATAATAATAATAATAATAATTATAATAATAATAATCTACTTGGAGAAAATAGCAGCCAAGGGCTGAAAATACACAATGAGCAGAATCGATGTAAATTACATTCGAAGATATTGGTGACTGGGTCATTTAACATAAGCTTTCAATACAAAAAAAAAAGAGGGGAAACATGTGAACCTAAACGTTAACTAGGGTCTGATAGTTATCACTGTGGCTGGAGAGGGGCTGGTCTTAATCCCAGTGCAGCTGGACAATCACAGGGTGTTGTTGACCTCAGACCAGGTGGTATAGTCAGTCGCACATGGTTTTGGCGAGGGTCTTCTCACAAGGGTCCAGGGTGTGAAAAGGTTCCAGCCAATAGTATCTCCCATCAGTAAAAGCTTAACATTCACTTAATTTAATACTCTGAAGGTGACTGTTACTAGTTTCTAGTGTTAAACATCTCACCACATTAGTGTTGAACATTTGCTTACCACTAACAAGTGTGTAATCAATAGGAACTGGTACATCTTGCCAGGAAGGAATGACATTAAAGGCTTCATCTGGAATGATTGACACATTCAACTTCAAGAGATCAGTGACACTCCCACGAAGCCACGACCCATAGATAGTCTTTTGTGAAAAGTTGGAGAGATTACAAAGAATCTCAACTCAGTTTGAGACTCAAACTGAGTTGAGGCTAATACACTCAAACTTTGAGTGTATTAGCCTCTGTCAAATATATTGACTATTAATCCTTATATAAATATAGGTTATATGTACGTTTGCCTCATATATTTTTTCATCACCCAGAGTGAAAAAGTGAAAGTGGAACCCATAGGCATGACTGCCCGTTAGGGACAGTGTGGATACAGTGCATTGTACACAAAGCATGACTGCTCTCGACTGTATTCACTTCCCCAAATTGTAAACTTAGGTCCTGCACCAATTTTTTTTTTTTTTTTACGGGGATTTGCCCACCCGGGCACAGGTCACTGACCCACATCGGGGCCTGGGGGGCGAAATGTAATAATAATAATAATAATAATAATAATAATAATAATAATAATAATAATAATAATATTAATTATGATAATAATAAACCATAAAGAAATACAAAAATGAAAAAAGATCAAGAGTGAGACACAATATACGTATGTTGTATTGTCAATGGTAAGAGAAACAATTGAGACCCTGCAACTGTGTGTAAATGAGGCAGAAAGTCACATCAGCAACCCAGGACCTGGTCACAATTTTCGTGATGTCATATGGCAGCAAGGTCTACCATTAGACAACACATTTACAGCTGGGTGAACTGGAATAGCCCGAGAATCGAACACTGGCTCAAGGGGACAGGAGGAAAGCAACATACCCACTTGGCTGCAGCATTTCTCTCACCCAAGAGTACTGATCATTTAAGCAATTATAATAAATTACTTTTTGTATCACGCCATAGAAGTGTGACTTTCAAATCACCTGTACATATCATGTGCCCCTGCTGACATCACACTGGCAAGGTGAGGTGTGTAGATTGAGACACAAAAGCTAGTCGATAGCTTGGCACCCTGCCAATGTCAATTCGTGACATTGACTTCTGTAAACGTCTTGCAGACGTCCACTGGCTCAGTGTCTTTTATGTTGTATATCGTAAATGGCGTCCGGTCAATTCGTCGCCGGTCAATTCGTCACCAGGTCAATTCGTCGCCGGTCAATTCGTCACCAGGTCAATTCGTCGCCGGTCAATTCGTCGTCAGTCACGCCAGTCCTGGCCAACCTATTCAGGATCTTTAAAACAGGAGAATCAAAAGCCAGGGATTTCCAAGGGTGACAAACAACCGGAAGAGAGGATATCTCTTTACTCGGACAATCAAGAAATAATCGCACCATAACAAGGTCACTACTCAACAAAATATAGCCAGAAATAGATAACACAAGGCAATGCACAATCCTATACGGCACTCTATGAATGTTAGATTAGGTTAGGTTAGGTTAGGTTAGGTTCAAATTGTAAACAATTCATATCAAATTTACAGGAGATGAATTGACCTGGCGACGAATTGACCGGCGACGAATTGTCCTAGCACCATCGTAAATATTGCCAGTGGAGTGATCAATATTCGTAAAAAAAAGTAAATTTAGTAAGAATAAAACACGACAAAAATATTTCAGCCCATCATCTTAGGCTACACATTCCATACTTGTTTTGATAATTTGCATTTGGAAGTTTAACATAAAGTAAAAACAAAGAACATGAGTATTTATGTCAAATGAATTGTGCTTTTTATTTACATCGTGTCAAAACTATATTCAAATTTCTTGTGGAAATTATTTTACACAATTCTACGCATTAATTAAATTTGTAAATAAAAGCTTTTTGCAGCTTGCCCAGCAGAACCCTAAAGCACACTGGGATGTTTGGTTTGTGGGTTTCGGGTGAATTTAACGGAAAATAGGCTTGTTGTCAGGGATAAATCAGAGATTTCTCACAGTAATTTGTATAATCCATGATTCATATGTATAAAATCGTAAATAGCATTGTTGGTTCATCCCCAGGGCCGGATGAAATTTTCCCTCGAGTCTTGAAAGAGTGTAGGGAACAGATTAGCGGACCCCTCGTAAACTTATTTACAAAATCATTAGACACTGGAGTTGTTCCAGACTTGTGGAAACAGGCAAATGTAGTACCCATATTCAAAAAGGGAGACAGAGCATCAGCGTCAAATTACCGGCCGATCAGTTTGACGTCAGTAGTGGGGAAATTTCTTGAATCAATTATAGCAGATAGCATCCGATCGCATCTAGAGAAAAGCAAATTAATCAACGACTCTCAACATGGGTTTACAAAGGGAAAATCTTGTCTAACAAATCTGCTAACGTTTTTTAGGAGAGTCTTCGAGGTAGTAGATAATGACGAAAATTACGATGTTATTTACTTAGAATTTAGAAAAGCATTTGACAGAGTACCGCATCAGAGGCTTCTGAGAAAAATTAAGGCTCACGGTATCGAGGGGAAAGTTTTAAATTGGATAAAATCATGGCTCACCGATAGAACGCAGAGGGTCAGCGTAGATGGTGTTAAATCTGAGTGGGGCTGTGTAACCAGTGGGGTTCCCCAGGGGTCAGTACTAGGCCCACTCTTGTTCATAATCTACATAAACGATCTAGATACTGGGATCAGCAGTGACATAAGCAAGTTTGCGGATGACACCAAAATAGGGCGGCAAATTAATTCAGGGCGGGATGCAAATGCATTACAGGAGGATCTAAATAAACTGCAGGGGTGGTCTGAAAAATGGCAAATGAAATTCAACACCAGCAAGTGCAGCGTACTTAATATTGGAAGAACAAATACTTATAATGTATACAGCCTTAACAACATCAACCTAGAGAAGTCGACTTGTGAAAGAGACCTAGGGGTACTTGTAAGCCCGGACCTACGGCCTAGAAAACAGCGCGTTAATGTTCGAAATAAGGCAAACAGAGTATTGGGTTTTATATCTAGAAGTGTAAGTAACAAGAGTGCAGAGGTCTTATTGCAACTATATCTTGCGCTAGTCAGGCCGCACCTCGATTATGCGGTTCAGTTCTGGTGCCCCTATTATAGAATGGATATAAATTCACTAGAGTCGGTGCAGCGAAGAATGACAAAAAAGATTCCGGGACTTAGAAACCTTCCATATCAGGATAGGTTAAAGAAACTTAACTTGCATTCCCTGGAAAGACGAAGAGTGCGGGGAGATATGATAGAAGTGTTTTTAAGTGGGTGAAAGGAATCAATAAAGGGGATATAGATAAAGTTCTTATAATATCCGAGCAGGATAGGACTCGGAGCAACGGATTCAAGTTGGATAAGTTTAGGTTTAGGAGGGAGATAGGAAGAAACTGGTTCACAAATAGGGTGGTGGACGAGTGGAACAAGCTTACCAACTTTGTAGTAAGTGCGGGAACTCTGGAAAGTTTCAAAAGGAGGCTAGATAGATTCATGGATGATAGAGAGTGGTAGTAACTCTCGACAGGAGCTGCCATGCACAGGCCAACCGGCCTATTGCAGACTCCTTATTTTCTTATGTTCTTATGTTCTTATGAACCTAAGTGGCCATCAAATAGTTTTACAGTATTACAACCCTCCGTTCACCGATTACCCAGCCTCCACCGCTGGTTACCAACGGCCAGGTCATATATACAGAAGCAGTAGATATTACAAGTGTCGTCGAATTACCACTGGCTGTCCCGCCAGTCTCCTGTAATTTCCCGACGATCTGTATCAGTGTACAGACAAACAACAGGCAGGTAGATTTCCACCAGGACACAGAAACACACTTGTGCACTGTATTCCTCTTTAATAATCACTAATTCTCCACAACACTGTCTTCACAGCTGGACTTCTCACTTCGAATATATAGTCAGCACGCGACCAGTGCATAATTCCTGCGTCTTTTCACTTTATATTGATCAAAACAATTCCACAATACTGGCACAACAATTATATTCAGATGTCTAACTTGGCTTATACTTCCCACTCTGAGCAAAAATGGTCGACTGACTGCTAGCTTGCTCATGGGTGTTTATATGCGTCTCGTCAGCCGATCCTAGAACAATCCAGACAGGTCTGGGAAGTTCTTGTACGTTCTAACTCTGATCGGGGCTTAGAATAGAAAGTAAATCTTAAAAAAAATAATGCAATACATTCAAGAAATATTTTTTACCAAAGTAGTACATATGCAAGAAAATTTCCCTAACCTTACCAAAATTACTATTGCTTAGGACAGAAAATATCAAAACACCTAGTTTACAAACATTATAATACCAGATTATGCCTCGGCATCATAACAGGATTGAGATAAGTTGACTATTCCTGTCATTTATTTTACATCTAATAATTAGTTTTTGTTATATAAATAAACATGGTATTTTAACAATCAATGAGACGTAACACCGAGTTAAACGAGTATACATTGTACTAATAAGTTAGTTAAGTGTGATGTGTCAAACTGGAGATTGGTTCCCATACTTTGTCTCGAGATGTACGTCACAGGCATAGCATACAGTCATAGCTGCTTTGACTACAAAAGCGAACATCTCCAACAAGATATTAAAGAAATTGTGTTATACGTTCCGGCTATTAACTTCAACTTAACAACTAAGAGCAGGTTGGAGGGTAATCCTATAGGAGATGGCTAACAGAGGGCTTGTTCAAGTTCGTTCATTTTTTAACAGATGTTCTTTGTTCTTATCATTATATAAGTATTTTAAAAGAGGCGATATTTACAAGACCCTAATAGAATCTGACCTAATCAACCAAAGAAACCTCCCTAACTTCCTAACCAGGGGGCTATGCTACCCCGGATCCCCCCCCCCCCCGTCATATTATACAGAAATTACTTATTTTTATACCTGTGTTACAACCTTAGGGTAGATCGTTACATATACACAAATTACTTAAGTCTTTCAAATATATATCAGTTTATTATTATATTATTATTCCCAAGTTCTCGCAACAAAGGTCAAGTTAACAGGTCAAAACCAAAACAAGTCAATAAAACTATGAAAATATATTAACTTATTCCCACCACCACATATGTAAAGTAGCTAAAAAAACTATCTATGCATACTTTGTGGGAAACAATATGAGACCACGGACGATAAATTTTGGTATATGAGGGCTGTCACTAGTCACACGTAAAATTTCGGAGCATATCGACCCCCACCTGCACAGATAGTTGTTTTAGCTGCTGTGCAAAAAATAAAATAAATAATAATACGACAAGATGTTTGGAAGTGGCTGAATAAGGACTGAAGGTCCAACAAGATCACACAAAATCAATATCAAGCAAAATAAATCTCAATAGTCAATTGCCAACTCCCAAAACACCAGAGAGAGGGTATACTACTTAACTTAAGACAGCTGTGCCTAGACTGACTAGAGTGTACCAGTAGGTCATTGACGTCACCTCTCTTCCGCCAAATACTGACGAACTATATCTCGATTGGCCAAAACATAAACTTTATCTTAATTACTTATTGACATTAGTTCCACTTATCAAACCTATATACAAACCTTGTACAATAAAGTATAATATAATTAAAAACAAGGCTCATAAACCTAGCTAGTAATAACTATGTCCTTTCCAGCAACACAATCTCTCTGGCGGTGCTGGAAGTTGACCCCCACAACAATCTCTTGCTGAATTACAACTTTTCCACGGAACTTCCCGACTGTAGTATAAAGGAAATAAGAAAAGGAAGAAAAAGACGGATACCCCGGGAAATATTTGGAAGATATATGAAGTGCATCTAGTCGTTCTTGTAACCCAGTAGTATTGTGCCCTCGTCTTAATCTACACTACAAGTAGACACTATATGTGTGTTTTGTACATTTCTTTCTGTTATTTGCTTCATGGTAAGGCAATCGTCTGGATGCTGGTCGTTCAGACGATGTCACATTTCTAGTCGTACACTTGGCTAGGTTAATTGCACTCTTCTTAAGGACAGAATAAATAACATATCGTTTTAACTGAGTTTTTCATTCCTAATACCTTTTTGTTAATTTACAGTGTGTGATTACAGTATACAGTATGTAATAAATATAATAACAAAGAGTAGAGGTGTTTCAGTATGAGTGGTGTGTGATTCAGGCATATTGTGATTCAGTCACGAGAGATCATCAGTTATTAACCAACCCGGTATATATTTGCATTACATATCGAGACATGTTATTTGTCACTTGGAGAATAAGTTTGGAATAACACAGCAACATTGATGAGCTCGTCCTGTAACCGGTGATGAGGATGTAGACATGGACGCCTTTCTCTTACTCAACACGAAGAAGAAATGAGGAGTATAGGATGTGAAAAGACTTTTCCTTAAGCATGTATCTCGGTGTTACAGCATCAGAAAACAGCCTCCTTTCAACTCAGGTCCTACAGTATCTTGTCTAATTTTAACGACCAAGATCCGTCCTTTCTCTCTCAGTCTTATAATGAATATCTCTTAATATTTCCTACAGCCTTTGCACAGACCCAAAGCTACAACTATTTATTTATTTATTCATTTTATTTTTTTACGGGGAATAGCCCACCCGGGCATAGGTCATCGACCCACAACGGGGCCTAGGGAGCGAAAAAATAAGAGTAAAAAGGAGTTAAAAAAAAAGATTATATTAATCTACACTTGACAGGCTTCAGTTCATTAGAGAAGTGTGTAAATTTTCAGGAAGAGAATAATAGGGCTCCGAGTCCTCGTACCATTCGACATTTCTTAGAATCAACAAATGCTTTAAAAGTATCAAAACAAGCAATCTTAGGGCGATTTTTTTAATTTTGTATGTCTGTGGAATATATATTTGTCCTCAGCCAAACAATATGGGCGTTGTCCGAATTGGTTCAATACGTTGACCAATCTTGACCTGCAAATATTTCCTCAACTATATCATGTTCTTTATATTTGTTCTCCAAAATTAGGACAAGTCTTGCAAAACTTGACTTTTACCAAATTTACATTTTTGTTAGCATGAAGGCATCCGACAGCCACAAATGGGATAATTAAATTTGCTTCTCATATGGAATATGGAATATGAAGTTTAGAATATTTTATTGTTTGTCAGAATTTAGCAAAAGTTATTTTATGGCATATTATTAGTATATTTGAATACAGGTACCCCTGCACATGTAAATGTATATGTTTTTAAACTAGTCTATATTTAGAATTACCGTGTGGGAGCTAATACAATGTTGCTCACCACGTCAGAGTATTATCACCTTCCTAATATTCTGTAAGCTTCAAAAACATTATCTACCATACACTTTATTGTCCTAAATGAGTCACAGCGTTACCGACTAGTGACACAGTTTCTTAACACTGATTTTACGGTGCCGTCAAAGATTTCATTACTTCTGAATGGTGAATATTTGAAGTAACCTAGAGTCTTAAGTAGTGTTGAAATCTGAGGGAAAGTGTTATAGTAAGTGCCAAAGTCAGTGGGACTCATTCGCCAACATCGTCTTCTAGGCTAATTTGAAATATGTGTATAGACTAGTACAATATATGAGTAGTCTGAATACAAGGAAGGTAAAGTAATCATACATATAGTCTCATTCAGTAGAAAGAAATGATGTGTCACAGGAAATTTTAACAGGAAAAGAAAATAGCTCAATTCATATCTTGAAAAAAGGCTTTGTACTGCATACAAGTTCTACACACGTGTAAAATAGAATAACACGATGTTCCACTAAGAATCTTAAAAATTCTCGTGATATCAAGAAATGCCGAAACGTGATCAGGAACAGTAGGCTTTAAGGGGTTGTGGGGTATGAGATTGTTTGGTTCACACTCAGGATGGAATGGAGAAAGGAAACTCACAATGTGCTCTCTATATACATGTTGTATTGGATGTACAATGCAGCTTGGTGCTGGGAAGGCAGCATGGTTACAAGCGTGATGTAGAGAGAGCTGGTTGGTGAGGACGCTCAGAGAAGGACATCTTGTGGGTCGCCATGCTCGCCGGCGGGAGAGAGGACCGCCAGGCAGGCGGAGGAGGAGCGAGGGCCGCCAGGCAGCGGCGGAGGAGGAGGTGGTGTTGCTAGCTGGTTGGTGTAGGTGGAAAGAGACAGGTTACTACGAGGTCAGGTCTTAAATAGCGGGGGGTAGGCGTGGCTTAGTAGTTGACCCCCGCTCCGTGATGTATGGCGGCGCTGGTTGACCTAGACCACGAGGCATACACTGGGGAACTGGTGGGGTCGGCTACTCAGCGACAAACAGCGTTTGTAGGGGAGAAATCCACTACAGGGTCGTTTGCGTAACAACATGAACCCACCAACTGGATGACTTGTGGCTGTGCTACTCAGGTTGGGATTCTTTTGTTCAGATTTCCGTATTATCTTTTTTCAATAGTCAATAATATTTAATCACACATGAAGCATCCCGCTAGAGGAAAGATCACGGCCGATTTATCTCCCAGGGATTAACTGCCTGTCCAACCATGGCTAGTGTTAGTTGTGAGCAGCTCTGTGCCTCGAGAAGGTCAAGGGCGAAAACTTGAGGTTGGAGGTAGTGATTGCGAGGATGTAGGAAGAAGATACGAGATGGGAGAGTCTGTATATGATGACAACACATAGTGAAGAGAGGAACTACAAAACTGGTGATGAAAAAAGACAACAAGGAAATGACAACAGGTAAGTGTGCTAACTATTTTAGTCCTTTGGTATATGAAATGGACTGTAACTTGTCATGGCCACTACTGAATAATCCTCCTCTTTTAGCAGTGCTCCAACTCCTGGGCCCATTAATCAGACTCTGAAATAACAGCTTTGGTTAACAGACCAGAATCATGTAGACAATCCTTTGCTACCTCCAGCTGACAGTTGAAGATGACATTTAATATAATTACAGTGTTAGAATACATCCAAGGAAACTATTCATTATATCGCATAATTAGGATTCAAAGTAATACCAGTTTATCGCAATTAATACTAATTGTATTTACAGTAAACAAATGCACAGACATTAACATTGCATGGCCTTGTGACCCAACTGACTTAGGAATTTATCTATCTTAATCCCATAACATGGCTCTTCCTCCATTCACAAAAGTATCACCTACTGTAGTATTCACCCCAAATGCTGGTGATTAAGTAATACCAAAATGTAGGATACACACTGGATGAAACAAGATTACAATTACTTTCCTGGTCTCATATCCACACCCTGTATTCAGCCCTGGTGGAAGGCAGCTCCTAAACATAAACAAACAATACATCTTTCATATCTCATTTCTTTTCATAGAAAACCGCCCTTGCAACGGTGACTGATACAAAAAGAATATACAGCACACATCTTAATATTATGTAAATACATAGACATATGAAACAAACTGTAAAGGAGGCTGTGGTGAAGTTCCAGATGGTAGTATAGTCTACAATCTCCAGGCAAGCGGAGTTCACAGGTGTTAGCATGAACTTCTATAGCCACGATATACTGATACCTTATAACTAAATCAGTGATAATGAAAAAAATATTTTATTTGTTTTTTTTTAATCTCAATTTCGTTATTCCATGTAGTTCATTTTTAATCAATATATGTTTGTGGAATTCTAAATATGTTATTAGCAACACAAACAATAGCATTCATTAAAAATATACGGTTCATAGGAAAACCAGGTATTCATGAATTTCAAGGAGTAGCTAGCCTAATTTCTATCACGCTTCTTGCTGAACATAGTTTTACGTGATGGAATAGATAAACATGAATTTTACAGAATGAAAATAAAATAAATCCAAATGAATAAACAAATAAATAAAATATTGTAATATGTGGAGGCCCCCACATTGTGGAGGCCCCTGGACAGCTGCCCACTTTGCCCACTCCTGAATCCAGCCCTATTCATGTCCACAAAACATCCCTAGGAAAAAACGCGTTTTACACCAAGGATCCCTCTCCGTAAGCCCTGCCTTTTGTATTCAGTTGTCAATATGTATATTCCACTTTCTCCTGGCAAGCTCAATCTTGAATTAGTTTGTGTAAATCAACTTAAATAATTCGCCAGACCCGTGTCAGCTGAGGGTCATCTTTGAATGTGTAACAGTTGGTTTGTTTGTAATTTTTGTCATTGCGTGAGTAGCCACCTCTGGCAACTCACGGGTATAAAAACCCATGGCGAGGGAGAGCAGCCTTCCCGTAACGCTTCTCCAACTTTGTCTCAGGTATGTAAGCATGTGTTCCCCGCCGATATAGCCATTCAGTTTGACTTAGTCAATTTTGTGAGTATCAGTGTTCATGTTGTAACAGTGTAATTGTCATTTATTCAGTGTAAGAAGAAGTACTAAAGTAAATGTCATCTGACGTTGCGAGACGAAAGATCGTTGTGATCGAGTCATCACAATGCCTCCCGTAACGCTTCTCCAACTTTGTCTCAGATCCAGTGTGTGGGTTATTTGAACACCCCACAGACTGCCCAGAGTCAGTGGATACCTAACAGTTAGTTGTAATGGACGATGTCGCCGATTCGGCGGGATTAAACTGCCCCAGTCAGCATCGTGGGGCTGGACCCCAGACTGTCACCACGTGTCCGACTACACCCGACCATAACAGCGGTCGTCAGTTGTGAGACGCCAGTGTCCTACCCTGGGACACTTCTGGAAGTTATATGGTCCACAGTGTTTGTTGTATATGATTGGGGATAATTATCTGAAATTTAATTATCCCATGTTGGGTAGTGAACCCATGTAATTTGTTGGTATCAGTAATATCGTGTTGTGTGTTGTGAGTGCATCTCATATGTACTAACAACAGTCTGTAAAGGTACCATATGTAAGTTTGTCTTATAACTGTATGTAATGTAATGTACCACCAGCAGTGTTGTAAGAAATAGTAAGAATATCTGATTGGAGTTGCGCCAGAGAAGCCAAGGAGTTGATCCTTGGAGCTGTATGTAATGCCATGTAACACCAGTAATGTTGTAAGAAGCGAGAATATCTGATTGGAGTTGCAGCAGAGAAGCCAAGGAGTTGATTCTTGGA